CGCCCACCCCGTCGCGCCGCCCACAGCTATTGTTGGGTGCTCGTTGGGTTCCCGCTCAGCGAGCACAAATGAATCGCTGAATGTCACGGCAACTCTCTTACAGAATACTTAGTTAGTGTTCTTCTTAGTGTAGTGTCAGTGAAGGTCGTCAGTGTTTGGGAAGCTTAGGCCAGGCAGAGCTTGACGTGGGTAGCTGGTGGAAGTATGGTACAGTACGGGGTATCTGAGAACAAGGGAAGGCCTCACAGGCTGTAGGAAGGAGAGAAGGAGGTGAGGGGTTTGTTTAAAAAGCACGTTGTAGTTACTTTGAAAATCTAGCTGAAGGTCGTTTGAAATTATGCAGTTTGCACGTTGCATATTAACTCTGTAATGTTTTGTTTCTGTTGAGTTTTTCTTGCATGTCGCGATAATTAATTTAATTAGATTGTTAAATAAATTATTTTATTTTAATTATTATTGTTGTTAGCTATGTTTTTCCCAGATGCTGGATTAAAACGTCTACTTTCCAAAAGCAGTTTATACCACTTCAGCCCAACTAGTATTTAACAAAATTTCAACTGCAATGTGACAACAATATGCAGGTGTATTTGTAGGATTGCTTTTGCATGTTTAGGGTTTGGGAGAAGGTGTTTTTTAACCATAAAGATCCTTCTTAGTGTCTTCTGTCCCATTTTTTTTGACAGGATGAAGCAGGAATTCCAGGTATGCTAGTTGGAGTTTCTGTAGATGGAAAGGAAGTCTGGTCAGAAGGTTAGTATATGGGAGTAGTAGTTGTGCATGCTGTTGGAAAGCAATGAACGTTTCAAAAATTAACAATTTGGACACGCTGATCAGGGTGGCATTTCATCCACTTGATGTCCTGTCTCTGGACAGTGGCCAGAAACAGGTGCCTAGAGAATATGAAGTGATACTTTCCGTGGTAAACTTTAGTAATTTCCAGGAATCTCTAATTTATTAACTTCCTGAATGTGCTAGTGTATGTCAACAGTTACATTTAAGAACCTTTCTTCCATTTATTTGTCAGATTGGTCTTTGAATATACTTACACTGTAGACATACAGCTATATAGTGGTCTGGTAGAATTGTATATAGGAGGTAAAGAACTGTCCTCCCCACAGGAACTTACTTGATAGTCAAAGTAATAACGGCTCACATTTGGTGACCTGTCTCCTATTTGTGGGCTGAGGTGTAGATTTTTACTGGGAAGGTACTGAGATTTAACAGGTGTCATCCTTCTAGCAATTGCAAGTAATTTTTCTGGTCACGCAGTTGAGTGTTAGTCTGTCAGTACTGCTCATATCATGTAGACATTTGATGTTTATTGAAAAAAACCCACCAAACAGTGTGTCTGTTTTCAGAAACATTTTCATGTGTTTTCATATGAACATTTTCAAAACCAAAATTTCAAACCCCCAAATTTTGGGTTTTTTTTTTGACAACTTAAATGGTAGTAGTAAAGGGCAACATACTGCATTAGTGTGACTTTCAAAAAAAAAACCAACCAACCCAAAACCGTTTCTAAGCAAGATTGTTACTAACTTTCTTCTGACAGTCTGTTGTTGCATTAACTTTTATATATGTATAAAGCTGATCATAAGTTTTAGTTTTTCATTCATCATGACAGAAGTGATTTGGAGAGCCTTTGGTACCTTTTGTAATGTGGCCTAGTAAGAAAATTGTGCTAGAAACTTAATCACACTTTCTCAAATCAGATAGCTTATTCTGGTCTTAAATTACCTGGCAATGGAAGCAGAAGTTTTTGTAAGACTTCTGCAGAATCCCTTCTTTGACATGCAGGAAGTGCCTGAGGGAACTAGTTCCAGGGTTGTAGTTTATCACCAGGACTGCCAGATCCAGTAGCAAGACAACTACATGTGGGAGCATAAGCCATGGCAGAGCTTTCTGTACCCCTGCCTTGAGTAAGGCAGCTGGGAGGTGGGTAACATTGCTCTAGCAGACCTCTGGCACATTTTGTTGTCCTCCTCCCTTCTTTGTGGGGTGAAAACACAGGAACAGGTGTAGGTTGCACATACTCTGTGACCATGGTACTAAACTTGCTTTCTTGCTAAACTGATGAGAGTGGTTGGAGATTTGAAAGGGATTTTCACTGAGGGGTACAACATCTGCATTCACAAGCACCATGCAAACATTTGAGTAGACACTTCATGTAAAAGAAAGGGTCTTGGGCAACTGACATGTCATCTGTTTTATTTCTTGTGTTTTGGCAAGGGTTTTTTTTTTTCCTGTGTAGTTCATTATTAGACTACAGTTTTATATAGAGAGACATGCATTGCTTGCAGGCCTTGCTCGTACTGAAAAGTGCAAATACGTCATTACTGCATTTCATTGGTTTTTATGCTGCAACATTACTTGCACGGTTTCTTCAAACCTAACTCAAAATGAGGACTAGTGTGGGAGCTTGATAATGCCTTATGAATTCCAGTTCTTGCTACCAGAGTTGTGGGTTGGTTACATAGGAAAACACTCGTATGGAGACTATTAAGCTGTCTTTTAACTGAAGTCATGCCGAGTGATGTTGAAATGTAGTGTATAACACCACTGTTTTGTGAAGCTTTACAGCTTCGGTAATTGCTATGAGTCTGTGAGTGATTTGCTTTTTCAACTTCTGTATTGATAAAATAAGACCTTTTACTCTTTCAACCATTGGTTCAGAACAATAAAAGGAGTATTTATGATTGTCGGTCAGTTATTTTACGATCTGGATTCTGATCTCTAGTTTTTCTACATTGACTGTTTGGCCTCAGGAGTGTAAATTTTGGCTTGATCTTCTATCTCATTTATCATTAGGTTTGTTTTGTAGTCTTAATCAGTAACTTAGAATGCCATTGGCCAATACAATGGGCTTTGATTAACTGTTCCTACTACATTAAAATGTTATTAACTTAATTGAAGCAGGAGCAGGGATAGTCTACTGCTTCATGTCCCAGTTTAGCTAGAGGAAAAATATTGTAAGGCGCCAGTAAATCTAATTCATTGCAAATAATTAATTCAGCATGTCTCTGTGCAACATATTTACCATGATGTTTTTATTTTCTTGAAGGTTTGGGTTATGCTGATGTAGAGAATCGCGTAATATGTAAGCCAGAGACGATCATGCGAATTGCTAGTATTAGCAAGTGTCTTACAATGATGGCTGTTGCTAAATTGTGGGAAGAGGGGAAACTGGATTTAGATGCTCCAGTACAGAAATATGTCCCTGAGTTTCCAGAAAAGGTCTACGAGGGTGAAAAGGTATGTAATTGTGTATTGGTAACCTTTTTTTTTTATTTTTGTTCCTGTCATTGCATAAGCCATATGTGTACAGGTACCTGTATCTGGACCTATTCCTGTAAAATGCCAAAAATTATTTAGACGAGTACTGATGTTTGCTGCTCAAAAAAGCAATGCTGGAAATCTGGATCTTCAGTTTTACATCAAGTATGTCATGTGTGCCTAGATATGTATATATTTTAATTAGGTTTGATACATGATGTTTAAAAGGTCTTATATCTTTGTTCCTTGTCATGTTGAATTTTGCTTTTCTGGTGATTTAGTGTGCGTCACATCTTTAATGAAGAGAGCTCACATTTAAATATTGTCCTTTCTACGTAGGTCGCTATTACTACAAGACTCTTAGTTTCACATTTGAGTGGGATTCGTCACTATGAAAAAGATATTAGAAAAGTAAAGGAAGAAAAGGAAAAGGCAAACAGAGCATTTAAACTGACAAAACCCCATCAGGATAAAGAACAAAAAGAAAAAGAAGGCAAAGGGATTGAAAAGACTGATTCTGTCAAACCAAGGAAAGAACACGAAGGTGAGGTAAAAAGCCGAAATTCAAAACTTGGCAGGAGAGACGCAGAATTTGAGCAAGAGGAGTATTATTTGAAGGAAAAATTTGAAAGCGTGATTGAGTCACTGAAGATATTTAAAAATGATCCTTTATTCTTTAAACCAGGTGAGTTTCTAGTCATTTAGACCAAAATACGCCCTTCTGGTGACATTTCTGTTTCAAATTGTTTTACATGCAATGAGGATAGTAGAGTCCAGTAAAGAGTGGTTGTGTGGAGTTTTTATTTTGTTCTGCTTCCCCTCGCCCCCTGTTCTTTTTTTCCCTTCTTGCCCCATTAAAAGCTCAATGAAGAAGTATTTGGGCTGTTCTGCAGAAGCTATCTGGTCATGTAACTGTCTTAAAACTGAGGTAACTTTTGAAGACTGAACTCATCAGGATTTTATTAGTTCAATTTTAAATAACAGTCTTGTATGGATATCTTTATCAATCTGTGGACTTAAGTCATCTATATAAGAATCATTCTTTTTAATGTTGTATCTGTACCATAATCCAGCAGGTTCAAAATGTGATGTAGCCAAGTCTTAGAGTAGTACAAAGAGTCCCAGATAATGCAGGGGAGAAGAGAAAGTGGGACCTCAGGTAGAAATAAGACTTTTCTCCAAGGAGTTCTATGAAGTGCAGTAAGTGCTATGAAATCTACCAGTTACTGAATTTATAAATGCTAAAGCAGATTATAATTTTGGTAACAAATTTGTGTCTACAAAGTATTTTGTAAAAGTGGATATCGACCTGTATTCGTGCTCTGGACCTTCTAGATGTGAACCAAAAGCAAAAAAACTTAGTGAGGTGCTAAACAAGAGCTGAAAAAGTCTATATAAAGACCATGGAATCACAGAATAGATGAAATTATTTATTGCTGGAATTACTTAAATTAATTCTAGAGAGGATTTTGAGGAGCTTCATCTGTAAATTCTAAATCAGTTAGATTAACAGGCAAATGATACACATTGCTGACAAACAGCAAATAATATGCGTTTAAGGGGAGAGGGGTAGGAAGGGTGAGAAGTTAACCACTTACCATTTGAAGAGTTCTAGGAACCATTTCAAGTAAGATCTTTATGCAGTTCGGCAGTTGCTTGGTGTGTAGATGTTTCATAAAAGGCATTAGTGCAAGAATGAGATTTAAAAAAAGAAACATTGTTTTGGAAATAAATTATTTTGTCTTGGATAATATGCATGTTAGTGTTCATATAATCTTTAAGGATATTCTAGAACTAGAAAACTAGAACCAGAAACACTATGATAGAAGTGATCAAGACCTTTGACAACCTTGAGCAAGTACTACCCTTGTCTTTCCATCTCTAGGGTATACACACAGAAACAAGTCACAGTAGGTGAGCATCTTTTAAGAAGTAATTTTATGGTTTGCTTCAGCTTTCCAAATCCAGACATTCTTATTAGAACTGGTATAGTGAATCTTGTGTAAAGGACGTTAAATGTCAGTCTTCACATCTTGGCGTGAAACCTGGCTGTACATGCAGATCGCTGAAAGTATTTTAGGTCTGTTCTCAGAGCTACCTGCACTTAGCAAGCATCTTTCTTTGCTGCAGTATAGAAATTCCTAAGGCCCAGTATCATAAGCTTGTGATTCACATCATATTAAAATGGGGATGAAGGGGGAGTCTTTTAACTGATTTCTCATTGCTATACATAGTTTTATTTACACATGTGTTTACTTAAATTTTATCTTTAAGATTTCATTTAAGCATCAAGCGGCTAACTTTTTTTTTTTTCTCCCTCCTTTCTCCTGTTTCTTCAAGGTAGTCAGTTCTTGTATTCAACATATGGCTTTACTCTTTTAAGCGCTGTTGTGGAGAGAGTTTCAGGACAAAAATTTACAGATTATATGCTAAAAATGTTTCGTGATTTGGATATGCTATCAACTGTACTAGATGACAATGAAGCAATGATATATAACAGAGCAAGGTAAACAAGGATGAAACTTTACTCTCCCCCTCCTTCCCCTCCCCCCCCAGTTGTTGTTCTTTCTATCTTTATTAAGACAGCTGAATTAAGAATGCATGAATTTTTTCAGGCTTTTAAATGACGTGATTTATGTTGTTTCAAAGTCAGTCATGTAACTGATTTTTTGTCAGCATTATGGCATTGGTTCTGTAATTGGCATGTAAAATTACGGAATAGGACATAAGTATTTCCTGCTATAAAAGTATATATGGGGTGAAGTGGCAGGGGTGACTATGAAGTTTGCATTTATTTTGAGTACAAATAAGCAGGTAAGTGTAAATAGAGTAAAATAAAGGAGTAACTAGAAGATTGTGTTAGAATATATAGTTACCTTGGTTTGCTCAATATACTGACTTCTAAGAGTTCTGTGGAATTGTAGTAGTCTCACAGTAACACAAGGTTTTCATAAATTTGTAGTATCAATTTTAAGCAGAATTAAAATTCTGTTTAACATAGAACATACCTTACTAATTGATTTCTTTTTACTAACTTAAAAAAAAAAAAAAAAACAAAAAAAAACAAAAAACAAAAACAAACAAAACAAAACCAAAAAACCCTCACCCAAAACCCAGAGAAATTTGTGTAACTGGATAATCCATTCCAATATAGTGTATAAGGGTAGAGTTTCATGTCTTTCTCTGCAGCCTTATTTTATTGACCTACCTGTCTGGGCTCTGAAACTGATTTATTGACTCACCAGCTGAATTTTGGTGCAGGAGAAGAATTGTAACTGAATCACAAAAGCAGGTTATGGAAAAAGGCTCATGAATATGAAACTCAAACTTTTAAAAAGTTTGGCTTCTCAAATGCTCTCAAAAAATGAAAATGGTGATGAAGGTGTTGAATCCAGGGTTTATAGTACTTACATAAAAATGTGTATTTAAAGAGTGTGTGTATGTGTGTATGCACGCAGAGCAGTTTGTAGTGTTTTTACTGCTGTGTTCTAAGATGCTTTGTGCTGGTATTTTGCTTGCAAATTTTCAGAGGCTCTTCTGGCTGTAGATCTGGATGCTAGTGATGTTCTCATAAATTATCAAGCTTGTACAGTCAAGTTCTTTTAAATATATGTGTGTATTTTAAACCTTTTATAAACTGAAATATAGTAGGGATGAAAGAATTGGGACAGATGCTTTTTTGGGGGGTGCTTTATGGGCTTAACTTACTGTTAAGCAAAACTGAAATGCTGAAGTGATGGTTTTGCTTCCACAAATAGCTAGCTTGGTGCATTAAACTAGAACATACGGACATGTTGTGGTTTGTTTAATGGTTTGGTGATACTATATTTCCCTGACATGAACATGTTTAAAAATTCACGTTCTAGATTTTAGAGATGTAACTCAAGCATTTCATTGTCTTTGTAACAGGTTTATGATTGAAAAACTGACTATAGGGACACAGATAATCAAGTCACTGGCAGAGCTGATGGTAGTCTTGGACCATTCGTCTCTCTCTCTTTGCTTCAATCTCTGACTTTCAGTATTAACGCTTTTCAGAGGTTCCCTAAAAGTTTTCCAATATAAGTACGGACTAGATAGGGAGTGTATCTCTGTGTGATAGTAGGCTTGCCATGCCCCCACCCCCTTTAAATCTAGTACAGGGATTTAAGAAAAGTCCTGTGCTGATCTATAGATTTCTGTCACATCTCTTATTTGTATACTGCCTTTACTCTTAGTGTATCCGAAGAGTAAGTAGAAGGATTAGTACTTTTATTGAAACTAAGCTCCTTAACCTAAGTCGTCACCTTAATTTTTGTTTTCCCATCTGAATTTCTTGTTGATTTTTCTGCAAAAAGCATATTTAAGAAAAAAGTATTTTAAAAAAATTCTAAAGTTTCAAGAGAACAAGGTTGTACATGCTCAGTTTGCTCTTTTAAGGTAGGGTAGCTTAAAGTAGTTTTGTATAGTATCTGAGAATGACAAGTTGAATTTTGTTGAATTTTGTTGAATTCCAGGTGTTATGTTTACAACAAAAAGGGACGGCTGGTGAATGCACCGTATGTGGACAACTCTTACAAGTGGGCTGGTGGTGGCTTTCTGTCGTCGGTAGGTGACCTTCTGAAATTTGGAAATGCCTTGTTATACAGTTATCAAGCTGGACAATTTCAAAACACTAACGGCAAGCTTCTTCCGGGGTACCTGAAACCAGACACAGTCGCAATGATGTGGACCCCAGTGGCAAAAACAGAAGTGTCATGGGACAGGGATGGTAAATACGCAATGGCTTGGGCTGTAGTAGAGAAAAAACAACAATGTGGCTGTTGCAGACAGCAGAGACACTATGCATCTCATACGGGTGGTGCAGTGGGGGCGAGTAGTGTCCTCCTCATTCTTCCTGAAGAGCTGGACTCTGAAGCTATAGACACTGGGCTAGTGGCACCACCTAGAGGAGTAATTGTTAGCATTATCTGTAATATGCAATCGGTTTCACTCAACAGCACTGCCTTAAAGATTGCAAGGGAATTTGATAAAGAAAAACGGGCACAATATACAGATTAAAAAAAAAAGGGATACATGTAACTGAACTCACTGTACTGAAACATGAAAAACAAATGGAGAAGGGTGTAACTGGACTCCGAGATCACTAAGAATATGTAAAGATCACTAAAAATATGTAAAAATTGACTTAATTAACTTCTGCTAGTGGTGCTAAACTTATGTGTAACTGAAATTCATCTCTCAGGGAAGTTCCTAACTTGGAGAAAAGGATAATGTAACAGTCAAATTTGAAACTTTTGAAAGATTTCGCATCTTCATTTGAGCACACACAGACGTAATTCGTTATTCTCGCAGTTCTTGTCTGTTGAAACTGTTTGTATTACTTTTTAAAGAAAAATGGTTTTACTGTTGATTTTTATATTTTCACATAGCGCTTTTCTTATTTGCTTAAAAAGGAAAAAAAACCAACAAAACACAAATCTTGAAGCTACCTCCAGAATGCAGATTTATACCAGAAGTACACTTTTGTCAGAGCTGTGGATTGTTAAGAATTTGAAAAGAATGAGGCTAGAGTAATGTACGTAAAAAAACTTTTTTGTTATTTAGATGCCTTCTCTCCCATTTTTATTGGACACAGAGAATGTGTGAAACTAGTTTACTGTGAAATAAGGGTATTATTTCCACAGTCAAATATGCCTGAGTAGCACAACATCGTGAGCTGTCAAACTCATTGTTTTTGAATGATACACATGCTGACTTTGGTAGCCAGAAATGGCACTGTATTCTGTTATGTAGATATTCCTTTAGATAAAGGAATTGGGAACTCAAATAAGTCAATAAAAGTTAAAGCCCATTCTTGAAGCCAGTAGTAGAAGTCTCACAGACTTTAAGAGGTTATTTTGAAAACCATACTTTTTTTCCATTTGGAGACCTTCCTCTAGGAGTTACCTTTGCACAAGGTTGAACACGAAATTGTGATAGAGTTCCAAAGAAGGATTTTCTAATCTTTGCTTTTACTATAAGAATACAGTAACATCTGAATCTGTTAATTTTATATATTCCATAATGGCATGGGAGAACTCCATGATCTCCCGAGATTTACCCCCCCATTCCACTTCCCCTGCAGTTACATCAGACAGTATTTCCAGGCTGAGACAAAATAAAATATCCTTCAGGAAAGGTTTGAATACTTACATCCCTATACTGTTTAGCAGCTCTGCTCTGAATTTAAGGAACAAGATGTCTTAGATTAACAGCTAGCAGAAGATAGCCATACCTGCCTCTTTCCCAAGTTAGTGCTTTTGGTATTAACTTCATAGTTGTTACTTGCCCTGTGATGAAACCCAATGTAATCTCTGTTCCCAGTATGCCTATGATAGCATTTGTTACCCAAGACTGATAAAGCAGGGAATTTAGTATTTTGAGATGTCAGTGTTTTACCTACATTTTTAATTGAAGCTACTAGGACTGGTTTAGTACTCTTAATAATTCTTGTGCCTTAAACCAGTAAAAGCTTGCATCTAAACTATTTGCTTGCGTTTTGTGTCCCACTCACCAAAACTTCGCTTTTCTATTCTGTAATAATGGGTTGTCTTTTCTCAAGAATGTCAAATCAGCAGAGACAACAGAGAAAACCTTTCTGAACAAACTTTCATTTGTTCAAGCAATAAATTACCTACTCTACCACTGACGTCTCTGATATTGTTTGACAGTTCCAGTGCAGAAATACTGGAGGTGAGTGTCTTCTACAATAGCAACTTTTTTTTTTTAGTTCTCTTGAGTCTTGAGCACCTACTAGCTGGGTAAACATGCAGCAGCAGAAGTCATTTCCTGTTTTACATCGGGAACAAGAGTAAGTAGTTCTGAGTTGTTTTCATGTTGAAGAATACACGAATAGAAATAGACCAAATAGAATGTTTTAAATACAGAAAATCTGAAAAGTAACACTATTACTTTAGGATTTATAACATACTTTTCTTGTATGATGCATCTGTTTTGCAAATGGTATTTACTGTTCTTGAAAACCATTTTGCATACTTGAGAGTAAACAAGTGTCACTTGCTGACCATTGTGTTTGGCTTTAGACAAAGATTCAGAATGAGGTGTAGGCTTACCATTACGCTTGTCTGCATATGACCAAATGCTAATAAATGTAAGTATTTGGAGTATATATGAAAGTGAATAACAAGAAGTGTCTAAGGCATTTCCAGTACCAAAATATTAATGACACTGTCTCACTCCCCTCATGGAGTATGTTTAGCCACCAACTTTTTATATTCATACCATGTTCTTCATACAGTATCTTCCATAACTTAAGGCTTTTAAAAAGCCTCTGTTGTCACATGAACAGTATTGGAGATGCTACGATGTCTAAATTTCATCTTCTAATACCTGGAACAAAATGGGTCACTGACTTTCTGTGATTTGATATTTACTTAATCATGAGTTCTTACCTTTTAGGGTGGAGGAAGAGAAGCCAAAGATACAGGAGACTAGGAATCTGATCTAGCACATGTATTCAGGTCACAAGTGAATTCATATTGCTACTTTGATCTTTGTTCTGAAACTAGTTATTTGATGGACTGGCATTAAGTGTGGGAAACTGTCTGGTCAATGAAGAGCAGCCTTCATGATAAACTTGCTCTTAATTTAACCTTTATTTTGAAAACACAGTATGGCACTGACATAAACCTACTTTTCTTAAAAGGCATGGACACTAAATTGGTGCATCTATTTCTGTATCAAACACCTACTTTCTGCATCTGGTAGTTATAAGTGTTCACTGTTTGAATTAACGGAAATAAAACTCGTTGCAAATACAACAAATTGTAGTATCAGGTTTTGGGGATTTTTTTATTGACTAGAAAAATACAAGTTTTAGAAGCCATAAAAAGAATAGAGGTTAAATGGAAATTCCCAGCAATAATTAGCTCACTAAGACACCTGATACTTTTGAAAGAGATATTGATATATAACTTGAGACATTATTCAGTAAAACAAAAGATGTAAGACTTTGTTTGAATGTTTTCTTAATGGTTTTAAAAAAATAAAGCCACTTTTTAACAGACATTTAGAAAGGAATGGCTTTTAAAAACTAATTCCAAACCTGTTTCCTCGTTGCAAAAAGGTAATTATTTAATGTCAGTATTTAATACTGAAAATATGCATGGTTTTGCTGTACTAGTTTTAGTGACTGGATACCATTCACAGCTGTTAATATAGTTTGCTGACTTACTGTTGCTTATATACCATATGCCTTCTCTATACAGAGTGGTTTCAGTGTTTTGCAAAAGACTCTTTTTTTTTGTTTTTTTGGTATAGAATACCAAAGGCAGTTTTGAGACCAGATTAGAGGGAGGGAAAACACATGCATTCCAGAAAAACAGCTGAACATAAGTGAGTAACTTTATATTTTTATTTATCACCACTCAACATGGTAAAGGGACTAAAGCAACGTTGAAAGCAAATGAGCCATTTTAAATCTATCTAGCCTTTGCAACCCTTGCAGTTAGGGTGGTTGCAGTAATAAAGTATACAAAATGCATTCTTAGAGCAGGTTCTGTCACCATATGCATTACGCTGCTCTAGTTGATGATTAATGAGGGCAAGAATGCAGCAAGGCCAAGGTTTTTATATTAAATGACACCACCAAATTACTAATACCATATTTAAAAGTAAAATTATAAAAATAGAGCTCAGTTGTCTGCAAACTTCCAGGAAAAACTTGCACTTCAAATCATTTATTGAAAAAGAGATTCCAGCTCATTAGTCACTAGTAGCATGTAATTTTTACAAAATCAATTGTAATTACATTGTTGTATTAACAGGCATTTTTAAACTGCTAAGGCTTTCAGGAACACAGATCCAAAACCCCATGCTGAAGTGTTCAGTGTTGCTTTCTCCTAAACGAACAGCCTGTAAAAAAAATCACATGAGTATGGATATGAGTAATCCTTAAATTGTTTGACTGCTTTGGAAAATTGCCCACCCAACTTCAGTAGGAAAACTCATGCAATACACTTAAATTTCACGTACCACAGGAAGTAAAGATTTAGCACTTTGGCTGTCATATAACTTGGCTGTCATATAACATGGCTGTCATACAATTCATCTTAAAATAAGGCTAAGGTGTACTATTTCTCTTCTTCCAGATGCCTTTTAAAGTTTCAGTCTACTGTTCCATCCCTTAGTGATACAAACCTCAAACTGAAACAGCTGCTAGGAGTGTTGATACCTTTTCAACTGCTCAACATACCTTCAGGTATTCTGTCCTCATATAAACTACATCTGTATAAGCAATATTGTTTGTAATGTGCATATATATTTACCTTTTGTCCTTTAAACAAAACGTGAATAAAATCTGGATTTGTTACTTAATTTTTTTTTAAGCTCTCAAGTGTTTCCAGTGTTTTTCATATATCCCAGACACTGGGTTGCACTTCAAGTTACTGGTGCTATACCAGTTATCTGTATATCATTATCAGTAGTTCTTTGTTCCTTTATAATTTAAAAAAAAAAAAAAAAAAGTAACATGAGCTAGGGAACTGCCTTACAGTATTACTGTTTAAAAACAAGCAAGCAAGCCAGCCCTCACTGACTTGCAGTGGCACAGAATCGCTTTAGCCTGGCAAAAGTACCCTACTCCTTTAATGGTGCTTTTTAATGCTCTGAACTTAGCTCAGAATTAAATAGGCAGTATTTATTATAGACAGGCTAAAGGAAATGACAAGTCAAAGCACCTAAAATCGAGTGTGTTTGATCACAATGTAGCTGCTTAGCTGCCTGGCATATCTATAGCCATAGCCATTTAAAAACAAGAATCTAAATCAAAATTTGCAATTCAGGGCCCATTAACAATGTTTTTACTAGCCAAGTCTAAGCAATTTGCAAAATAAATTCCACTATCAGTTTTCAAAATGAAAACTAAAATATTTACAAGCTATGAATACACAAATGCCTTCATCTAAGTATATATTTAGGCTGCTAAACATTACCCCTTACCTTCTGTGAGCCTCGCTTTCCCCCCAGTAGGCTGACACAGAACAGTTGAGCACCCTACACACAGAACTACTGTCTGAGCATGGCTGAATACAGTGGTGATCTTGTAGCATCCTGGAA